GAAACAAATAAAATAAAATACATACAAAGCAGAACACAGCTAAATGTATCAAAAGCATGTCTATGTTATATTAGAATTTTCTGAGACAATGAATTTTGGTTTTAATTTTTTCCCCCTGTAAGAGGTTTTTATTTAATAGAATTTTTGGACAAAAGAAATCGCAATATATCGCCTTGCTTACAGTATCGCAATATATCAGGATATATTGTATCGTGACCCCTCTGTCATCATATGTATCGTGTCGCCAAATTCTTGCCAATACACAGCCCTAATTATTATAGCTTCCAAAAAACAACAAAATAATGATTTCAATGTATATTCGGGTCACAATTTAAAAAAATTAAATATAAATTCATTTGTATAGGAAACTAAGTTTTATTTTGTGCTTAGCCTGAATCGACCTTCAGAGAAACTATAAACCTAATTTGTTTCTGAGAACAAATCTAAATGTAAACCTGTTTGACAGCACCAAAACATATTAGTCCCTACATAGTTTTGTGTGTGAGCTAAAATCTCAGTTCAGTCTTTGAATAAAATGCTTCAGATCAGTCATGTTTTGTGTCCAGGACAGGTCATCCTGTGAAGCAAAAAGTCTAATTTAACTCAGTGTTATATCGACCAGCATGAGCGGGTTATTGGAAACAGGATTTAAAAAAGTAAATCATGCRGACAGGATTTGTTGTCCTTAAGTGCACCAGCTATGAATTTTAAACATAATTAACATATTTTAGTCTAATTATTAGTCACTTTGTAACTCACGGTCAAAAGAGGGCATGGCCAATTATGTCTGAGGAACATAAGATTTTAACTGTCAAGTAATTTGTGCATTTTATAAACYTTTACTCTGCATTTACTTAATCATTTGCGCTTAATTTATCTCTATATCAAGCATATAAGTATTGTTAGAAATAAGTAAAAAACAATTGTTTCTCTTCATATCAATATGTCAACACAAAACAAACTACTTAATAGCAGCAAACTGAGACATTTGTTTCTAGAGGTGACCCCTCAGCTGTATTTGCCACTTGCTTTAAGAAAATCCTGCAGATTGAATAAGATGTACTTTGTTTTTTCCACACCCAACTACAGCATTTGTGATGTATTATCATGCATTTGTTTTGCTGTTCATAATGTTCATTTTTAGCCTACTTTGAAGCCCAGTGACTATGTCCTGGTATGGTGAACTTCACAAGTGCACATATGTATTAAAAAATCACAGCTGATAAGATCAACAACAAACTGCATTTTTGCACATTAACTGCACTTTCGTTATGGTTCTATCTAGATATAACGCATCACGGTGTCATCACTCACCTCCACCTGTTGATCCCGACGTTAGAAGACCCAGCGAACCAGGGGTCGAGGATGTAGACGCAGCGGACTGTGTCCGCTCCCTGCAGGGATTCTCTGAGCGACGGGTTGTCGTGGAGCCGCAAGCCCTTCCGAAACCAGTGGATCGTATTAATGACCATCACTCAAGTGGATAAGTCCTTTGTTCTTTTTTTAAAATTATAAAATAGTCTCTTTGTTGTTTCTCGCTCGACTCAGGGACTAGTTTGACGCTTTGAAATGTCCAAAAAAAAAAAAAAAAGAGGGGGAAAATACAAAGGAAACAAGTGCAAAGAAATGATTCAACTCGCTTTTTGTGTAAATCCTGGGATAAAAAAATAAGGTTCAGCTTTAAAATTAGCCTTGCTCTAACAGAGCCTTTTCCATTATGTCGATATATTGATTGACAGCTGGTTGCTGAACCATTTGGGCACGAGACTGCGCGCGCTCCGCAGCACCGTGAACGCGAACACTGCGGGCTTTAGGACCTCGGAGGCCGGGATGCCGTAGCCTGGTTTGTTGTATAACTTGTTTTTCTGAATGACGAAAAGAGCCTATAAGAATGCKCATGAACTAAAACTCCTGGACGGACTCGAAAGCAACATTCATTATCAGTGAAAAACAGAGAAATTAACTTCCCGGTAATTCAATTTAGCTGGCCTTACTAAACACCCGAAGAACACGGTGGCAGGAGTCCCCTGCTGCCCCGCGAAAAGCGTGTTATGTAAAAACAATAATATCGAATTGGTCGTCTTAGCTGCTAGAAATCGCTTCGCGTTCGCTTCTGACTCCTTTCCTCCCCTGAAAAACGGATATATCAGTGGATTTTTCAGCAAAATTTCCGAAACGTCCACAACACACAGCCGCTCCGCCGCTTAACCGCACCTACTGTCGTTCCTACACCAACTAGGGACGGGCTTAGCGCAGAGCGTCGCTTTGATTGGCTCAAATCGCTGCGTGCGTTTCACGGCGTGGTCACGTTTTCGCAGCGTGCTCGAGGCAGCCAGCGTGCGCACTGAACTCAGATGTGTTTTCTCTTTCTCATGAAATCGAGAGTCGTGACCTCTTTTAGTGACTTACCTCAAAATGTTAGCGAGTTAATTATGCTCACTTCTTGCAGCTTGTGMTCCAGGAAACACAACAACAGATATAGTGGTAAACACTAAGTTTACCAAGTTAATAACAAAAACGAAATAAATTGTTAGATAAACTTTACAGAGTTGTTCAAATAAATAAACGATCTTCAAGAACATTTTGGAATAAACTGCATAAAAATGTCAGGGCAGCTGCAGGGGTGTGTTTTTTGTCACTTCAGTAGAAAACGAAACCAAACACTAGTTTATTTAGTTTATTTATTTCTTCATCATCAGTGACTTTTTTAAGTGAAGAGAAAATAGAGGCAGAGAGAAAAACAGAGAGAGAAGTAATTAGAAAGATAGAAAGATTGAAATAGCGATTAGAAGTATATTAAATATACACCAACAAAGCACAGGACCACACACCCAACATCTGTCCGCTCACCTGAAAAATAAATGGATAAATACATGGAGGGCATATATAAAAATATACACATACCCATAAATATATAAAGACATACAGTACAAACATACATGCCTACATTCATAAATATTGTCAGTATATACACACAGACATATATACACACTCAGTGACCAGTCAGAACCCCCCGGATCAGAACACCTGTTTGTGAGCGGTTGTGAACATGCGTGTATATACAAGATTTCTCCAATGGAATATTTAATAGTGACTGTGGAGGACCGAAGACCCATTTCCCAAGACACGAGGCAGAAATAGGGAAGACCAGAGCCCAAGGGCCGGAGAGGGATCCCGAGCGCAGAGCCCAAAGGGGCACCCGCATGGGAA